GTCCTCAGGGTGTCCACTATAACAAGAGTTGACTGTACACTAACAGTTATCATTGGACGCTGCGTCTATGGATGTTTACTCACCATTTATTGCAATGGCACCAAGTTTTTCTAATGCATCCCAGATTTCCTTTTCACTTGCTTGAACAAGATTTAACAAGTCATCAAAAGAATACTGAAATCACAAGGTACGACGGCAGCCAGAAATTATATTTGTTGTATGAGAGGTAAACCACTACGTCACCCATGCCATACTCTTACCCTGACTTTGGTTCTCAATTCACCATTTTCCTTGGTTTCATATTCAGGTCCTCTGTACAAAGTCTCTCGGAGTAAATTACGTAGTTTATAAAGTTGAGGTCTGACCAATCGCACTTCAAAATATTCTGAATGGCAACTGCACACCTAAATCGTAATTCAAAGAATGACCTTATACACCACTGGCAACATTGTACACATAATTGCAACATTCAAGCACAAACCTGGTGTTCAATTAAGTCTGATCCTTGAAACCTGTTAATTATAGAAGGAATACAAGTTTTTAAAGGTAAGAAATAGTACAGGTTAAAATAACAATCTCTTAAACCTTTTAATTTTATTCATAAATAGCCTCTGGGCTGATCTAACTTCTGCAACCAAGATTTTGCCTTGCTAGTTTGATGTCATATGGGTTGGGGTCCCTGTGGCATCCCTCACTAACCTGGGGCCTTGTCTGCGTCATTTTGGGATCACTAGTAGACTGTTAAGGGGCATTGTTTGATCTCATATGGGTTGGGATCCCTGTGGCATCCCTCACTAACCTAGGGCCTTGTCTGCNTTTGGGATCACTAGTAGACTGTTAAGGGGCATTGTTTGATCTCATATGGGTTGGGATCCCTGTGGCATCCCTCACTAACCTAGGGCCTTGTCTGCATCATTTTGGGATCAGTAGTAGACTGTTAAGGGGCATTGTTTGATCTCATATGGGTTGGGATCCCTGTGGTTTCCCTCATTTACCTGGATCCTTGTTTGTTTGACATTCTGGTGTCAATAACAAGGCATTGGAGGTATCAGCTAGTTTGATTTCATATGTGGAATCTTTTGTACAGAGCATTGCATCTTCTTGATTTTCACCTCGAATAACAAAACTGATGAGAATAAAAAGATTTTGATATTAATGAGCAATCATTATGTCTTGTCAAACTTCTATCAAGCCTGATTTACTGCTATTTTCACAAACATGCAAACTCTGTAGTTCTCGTTTGCAAGTTGGAATTTGGTTTTTCACTGCCGCCAGTCAAAAATGTAAAAGGTTAGATTAGTTTTGATTGACGGCAACAATAAACCAAATTTTAGCAGCTGCTTGCATGTTTATGGAAATAGTAGAAAAGATTGGATGTACTTCAATACACAAGTGTCCTATGCTACCTTTCTCCTTGCTGTAATTTTTCAAGTAATTTTGGCGGCAGTTCAATCAACTTGTATTCATTCGACATGCAGTTCTCTGAGAACTTCAGTGTCTGCACAGGGCCCACAGAGACAAGACCGGCAGCATTAGCAGAGAGTTGTACATCTTCAATTGTTCTAAACATTAAAGGAAGGTGATTAGAATATCAGGGTTTTCATTAAGAGACTCTGGCTAGCTCATGTGCTTCTCTTATCATTTTAAACCTTAAATATTTTATGAAAACCCTGCATATACAGTTCGTCCCAATCCACAAAGTTTGATAGAACCAACTTGCTTTTTGATACTTGCTATTGCATAATAATAACAAATTGATCAGTGCTCTGTCCACCTAACATATTTTTGGATTTTCAGTGCCCCCTTGTCCTATTCTTCCCTTTCTCTAAATGAAATAAAACTGAAGGTATCAACCTTAATACCGCTTGCAAAAAGTACTTACCCCTCTTCAAAATACAATTCACCCCCTCCCCCCTCCTCGAAAAACAATCAAAAATATAGCAAAAAAACTTGTAATCAAAACAAAAATAGGGGAATAAAATAATACAGATTTAGAGAGTAATATATAAATCTTCAGAAACAACAAATAAATTATTAAATAAAGCTGAATAAATGGACATATTTTGATATTTTCATCCTTACCTCGGCTGTTCTATGTTTCCCGCCATATTTTATTTCTTTATCTGTATACCAACCCACTTACGCGTATAACACAGGGAACCCGCGATATCAAATAAAGCTCCTATAATTAGAGAGTTTTGAATTTTCATTTAAGCTTACCAGAAAAATAGCAATTTTGCTGTTTTTTAAAGAATAATGCCTCTACAAATTCCAAAATATCAACGATTTGACAATAAGCCAATAAAAGCTTTAAATTTAAATTTTTCTCCTAGTAAGATCAATCGAATGCATGGGTTCCCTGTGGAAGGGTTCCAAGGTTTTCTTCCATGACTCACAAATAGACGCTTACTTTTGCATAATTGAAAAGAAGTTTTTACTGATTGTTTTAACAATACAAGATCCCAAGATGTCCAAGACGTAAGTAAAACTTCATTTAGAGATTCGGAAAGACCGTAGGAACAACTGATTCAGAATTCAAGTTAAGCTAAACTTATTTGAAGCCGTTCAAGTTTATAAAGCTTTTAAATGGTGTGAGCATCCAAGCTATCAACTGTATTGCCCCGGCTTAACTAAAATATTTCTAAGAGAACTTAGAGCATTTTTTAATTTGAATTTCACTGGCAGAAATTGCATTTTTTCCTAGTAAAAGGGCCTTCGGCTTTTTACAAAAATATTTGAGTGCGATGACCTATGCTTTGTAACATTCTCCATGACCATTCAACTTGCCACGTTGACTAGCCCTTCTTTTCTACAAACCAAATTTTAAAAGTAGATATTTAAAGATTCTTAGCACCATAAGAACTATTTTTTTTAACTTTGTGACAAGCTTAAATCTTAATATTCAAGCATTATGGAAAATTGTTTATCAATCAAATATTCAAAAGAAATACAGTAATATTACAACCGTTATGCAAATAGTGTTCCAAGAATTGTTTTTGTAATCATTCAAGCGAGTTTGGAAATATTGTGTAGTTCCAAAAAATATCCATACCCCACCCATGGAGGAAATTGGAAATTCTGTAGGGGAGGGGGGTCAGAGAAAGAACAAAATTACAGAGATTGTATGGAAATAAAATGGAAGTTGCTGTGGGTAGGGGGAATGGGGGATCTTTTCACAAATTACCTCTGTGGTGGGGGTATGGATATTTCCTGAAACTCACATTAAAATGCCATCAAAAAAACAAAACAACAACAAAAATAGAAAAAAGCAAAACAAAAATCAAGCAAATTTATTTTGGGATTATTTACACCCATTTTTCTTTTTTTTCATTTAGTTCATTTAAACCAAATAAAGAATTATCTGCAGTATGTGAACAGATGTGGAAAGCCGACACCAATCGCCTGACTCCTGAAGTAGATTATAGCATAGATCCTCAGATAAGAAAAAAGCTTGTTATCGCTAGTCCCTACCGCAAGTACAGTATTGACACAGCTCATGAGAGATGCTTCTGAATAATGAGAAGGGAACGAAGGCAATTATAGTACATGATACAACAGCTAAACATGAAAAAATCTTTTTGTAAATATATCTAGTTTCTGCAAATGATCTTATCCCCAGAGTCTGCGTTCTTCCTGGTCAGCAGCTACCGGAACGAGGAAAATTGGTTCAAATCTTCAAATTAATTTATTGCTACACCATAAAGCAGCCTCTAGGATGTTCAAAGTCAGGGCTAAGAATATAGATCCTATCGGAATTTAGGTCATTAGGTTTTGCGGGCTGAGGAAAATCGGAGAATCCGAAGAAAAAACTACCGAATGAAGGAAGACACCCAGCAAAATCTACTTGCATCATGTTGCATGTGATACCGAACATGGACCCCGAGACCCCGAGACCCCAGAGGTGAGAGGCGAGTGCACTACTGTTACATCAACCTCGATTCCTTCCGACTTACACAAATACGGTAACGTTGTCTCCAATTAGAATAAAAGGAGCCCAGTACTTCGGCTCATTGTATGTTCCTTTTCTCATATCGTTCATCGCTTGCTGCAGACTTTCACTTGCTCTCTCTCCTTTCTTCAGATGCCAGTAAAATTTCAGCATAAAATCTTTCGTTGCTTCGTCGTCAATGGCCCACAGCGACGCTACAACAGCACGAGCTCCCGCAGCAAGAAAGGCTCTACTCATTCCTATTACTCCCTCTGATTTTATTTCGCCACGACCACTGTGACAGCAGCTCAGCACGACCAGCTGAGCATTAATTCCACTCTCCTGCGCCTCACTCATTGTCAAAATATAATCATCTTGTTCTGGGATGTTTGTCTCTTCTGTGGAAACAGATGGAGCCAAGATGATTTCGCCATTTTCGCTTCCATGAGTAGCAAAGTGGATGACAGCCACTCCTTCACGTAGCCTTTGCTTGATCACCTCTTTGGTAGCCTGACTCCCGGTCAATGCTTTAACACCAAGTAATTCGCTGATCTCTTCAGCCTCTTGTTTGGCAAACCTTAGATTCGGGAAACCTTTTTCTTTGCCCCTAAACATTACCTGGCCAACATCAGGACTTCCTACGATCAGAGCACCTGACTTGCAATGATGATCAACTGACGATTCTTGCAAAGCTTTCAAGGTCGTTAGTGAAGGAGCAATGCGAATGGGCATCATTTCGGACAGGTATAAACCTGTTTTTGAATCACGTAAAGCTGCAAAGGGTACCGCGTAGAGTGGTCCTTCAGGGATGATGACGACCTCACTCTGTTTAAGGTGATCCCGTAATGGAGCCACAAAAATATCAAAAAGCTCCTCAAGTGGGTTGACATCAAATTCTTCTTCATCGTATATGCACCTCAGATCAGATCCTTTTTCTTCGTTTTCGTTTGTCTCTGTCCTATTTGCTTCTCCAGCTTGAGGCAGGGAAGATCCTTCTTCAAAATCCCCCTCTTTACGGTTAAGGTAGAAATTCTGAAGCTGCTCCAGTGATCTGTCTTCGCAGTTAGCACCTTCGCTAACCCGCATGCAGTCATGGGCTTTATTCACGATTTCAGTGATGCACGTCACAAGAAGCTCCTTCTTGTCTATCCTGTTTGAAAACAAATCGTTTATTGGGAGTTCGAATCCTTTGATCTTACCACCAACGAACAATAGAGGGCTTTGACTTGCTAGAACCCATGTAGCCACATATCTGTATTCCAAAGCAAACACCAGGATGCTATAATCTCGATTGGCAACGATGTTTTCAATATCAGAATACTCAAGTTGAAGTTTTGAGCCGGGGTACAGAGTCAAGGTATATTTTGCCATCAATATGTCCCCCAAAGCGCGAGCTCGTCCACGCTCAGTCATCAGAAGAGCTTTTTGCTCCTGTTTGGTCTCGATGTATACCATTGTCAGCAGCTTGTAGGCTAAGATAAATGTGTCCACAATAGATATTTTCATCTTTTCTTGCTCTCCTAAATCATCAAACAGCTTTTCATAGCACAACAAACTCTTTTTCAAGTAGTTTTCTGACTCCTTAATGCAAAGGAGGTGGTTTTCTTCATCATGTTGTTGTTTGTAGCAATAGCTTAGCTGACAGTAGCATAGGCCAATCTGAACATATGCAAACCCCTCCGTTTTCTTATCACCAATTTCTTCAGCGATCTGGAGGCATTGCTTCAAGTATTTTATCCCGTCATGATATTTGCCTATTGTGCGGTATACTTTACCAACGTTTCCATAGTACTGCCCTTCTGAATGTCGGTCACCAATCTTCACTGCAATGACCAACTGTTTTTCGTAATATTCAAGTGCCTTCTCGTACTTTCTTAGTGAGCTGTAGGCATTTCCTAAATTTGTATACGCTGTCCCCTCTCCACATTTGTCACACAGTTGTACAGCATTACTTAGACACTTCTCATAATTTTCAATTGCTTGATCGTATTTTCCAGACGACAAAAATACACTTCCTAAGTTTCCATAYGCATTGCCCTCTCCTTTTTTGTCACCAATGTCTTGTGCAATGTGAAGACACTTTTCGTAACACTTTCTTGCCTCGCCGTAATTCCCTATTGATTGATAGTCATTTCCTAAGCTTCCATAAGCATTTTCTTGTCCATAACAATCTCTTATCTCAGTAGCGATGTTTCGTTGTTTCTCGTGGTATGTTATTGCCTCCAGGTATTTGCCTAGAGCGTTCTTGGCATTTCCCAAATTCCCATAAGCATTTGCCTCTCCATGTTTGTCTCCAACCTGCATAACGATGGTAAGGTTCTTCTCGTGATATTCAATGGCCTTGAGGTGTTTTCCAGATAGATGATAGACATTTCCTAAGTTTCCATAAGCATTTGCTACACCAATTCTGTCCTCTATCTGCTTAGCGAGGTTTAGAGTCTCTTCATGATATTCGATGGCCTTCTGGTATTCTCCTAATGACTGATAAGCATTTCCCAAGTTTGTAGAAGCATTTCCTTCTTGTTTCTTGTCGCCTGTCTCCTTGGCAACAGTTAGATGCTTTCCATGATACTTGATTGCCTTATGATACTCTCCTAATGAGTGAAATGCATTCCCCAAGTTTCCATACGCATTTCCTTCTCCGCTTTTGTCCTGCATATTTATTGCTATGTTCAGGCACTTTTCGTGGTACGTAATTGCTTCGTGATATTTACCTAACAAATGATAGGCATTTCCTAAGTTCCCGTAACATTTTCCTTCGATGCTGCTGTCATTGATGGCGACGGCAATAGCTAGAGACTTTTCGTGATATTCGATGGCTTTAGAGTATTCTCCTTGTGACTGATGCACGTTTCCTAAACTTGCATAGGCCTTTGCTTCTCCATTTCTGTCTCTTATCCTCTTAGCAATGTTCAACTGCTTTTCATGATATTGTTTTGCGTCTTGGTATCTTCCCAATGAATCGAAGACATTTCCTAAATTCATGCAAGCGTTTCCCTCGCCAGCTTTATCCCCCATCGTGATGGCGAGCTGTAAATCCTTTTCATGGCACTTGATTGCTTTCTGGCATTCCCCTAATGATTGATAGGCATTTCCCAAATTCCCATACGTTTTCCCTTCTAAACTTTTGTCACCTTCATCTACTGCGATGTCTAGAGCTTTTTTATGACATCTAACAGCTTCGTGGTACTTACTTAATACTTGATAAACAGTCCCCAGCCTTGTATATGCTTTTCCTTCTTCACTCTTATCACACGTTTCAACAGCGATGCTAAGATTCTTCTCGTAGTATTTCTTCGCCTCTTGGTATTTTCCCAATGAAAAATAGACATTCCCTAAATTACCATATGCGATTGCTTCTAAATTTTTATCGTTAACCTCGACAGTGATGGCCAAATCGTTTTCATAGTACTTAATTGCCTCTCGATATTTCCCTAATGAAAGGTAGACATGTCCTAAGTTCCTGCATGCATTCCCTTCTCCACGCCTGTAGCCAGTAACCATAACGATGTTTAAGTAGCTCAGAAAAGCTGCA